GGGCTATGGGGAGAGATTGGGGCAGTGCATATGGGGCTATGGGGAGAGATTGGGGCAGTGCAATTGGTTTTGGATTGACATATGGCCGTGGGGAGACAGTGGAGCAGTGAGATTAGTTTAGAATTGATTCAGGGCTATGGGGAGAGAGTGGGTCATTAGGATTAGTTTTGGGATTAATGCAGGGCTATGAGGAGAGCATGGTGCAGTGGGATTGGTTTGGGATTGATGCTGACTATGGGGAGAGTGTGGTGCAGTTGGATTAGTTTGGGGATTAATACGGAGCTACGTAGAGGGAGTGGGGCAGTGGCATTAGTTTGGGGATTGGTACAGGGCTACGGGGAGAGAGAGCAAGGCAGTGGGATTAGTTTGGGTTTCGAATCAATATCTATGCCCCATACGCCATGCCTGATCTACTACTGACAGACTGTGTTTGGCATCATCCATTCACCCCCTCTCTTTGTTCAGACCATTAGGAGACATACACTCTCTGACCCTTCAACTCACATCCTACCTGTTGTCTGAATTTGCCCTCTCTACTCCCAAGAAACACTGAAAAGTGTCAACACAGTGTGGAGCTGGAGGAACACATCAGGTCAGGCAGCATCAGAGGAGCAGGAGAGTTGACGTTTTGGGTTGGGTCGAAATGTCAACTCTCCTGCTGAGTCCTAATGAAGGGTCCCAACCCAAAACGTTGACTCTCCTGCTCCTCTGATGCTGCCTGGCCTGCTGTGTTCCTCCAGCTCCACACTGTATTAACTCTAACTCCAACACCTGCAGTTCTTGGTATCTCCAACGCTGAAAGGTGTCCTGGAAAAAACAGCTCATACCTTTGGCACTCCGTGCTTCACCGTTGACATGGAGGAACACTACCAGTGTGTACCATCTACAATATACACTCAGTGAGGATATTAAGACAGCACCTTTTAAAGCTGTCACTCCTGCGGTTACAGGGACAAGGGCAGCAGATACATGAGAACATTGATACCCACGTTACAACTTTGCTACCTCTCTGCTGCCCTTACCCACTATTCTCCCTCTTGCTGTACAAATTGACTTCCCTCAAGTCCCCATCCAATTACCTTTCAAAATTGTTCATCATCACTGCATCCTACCACCACCCCCCAACTCCCCAGAGGGCATCAAAATCCAGCTTATTAGCACTTGCTGGGTCAACAGAAAGGCTGTTCCACACTCTCTCCCTGTTAAAATGCACCAACTCACACATCCCTGTATTAAATTCCAGGGGCTGTTGGACTTCCCATTCAGCTAGCTTGCTGCGGCCCATTTGTCTCCTTCTCACTCTTTGCCTCAGCTCCAGGACTGGTGCAATGAGTGCCAGTTATTATTAAGCTTGAAGGGGTTCAGAAGAGATTTACCAAAGTGTTGCCAGGAATGGAGGGCTTAAATAATGAGGAGAGGCAGGATAGGCTGGGACTTTTTTCACTGGAGCATAGAAGGCTGAGGGATAAACTTTCAGAGATTTATAAATTTGAAGGGTATAGGTAAGGTGAATGACAAGCGTCTTTTTTCCTAGTGTGGGGGATTTCAAGACTAGGGGGCATATTTTTAAGGTGAGAGGAGAAGGGTTTTAAAAAGACATGAAGGGCAATCTTTTTACATAGGGAGTGGTTCGTGTGTGGAATGAGCTTCCAGAGGAAGTGGTGGATGTGGGTACAGTTACGATGTTTAAAACACATTTGGAAAAGTACATGAATAGGAAATATTTGGAGGGATACAGGCCAAGCGCAGGCAGGTGGGACTAGTTTAGTTTGGGATTATCGGGGAGGTGATGGCCTAGTAGTATTATGGCTGGACTGTTAACCCAGAGACCCAGGTAAAGTTCTGGGGACCCAGGTTCAAATCCTGCCACGGCAGATGGTGGAATTTGAATTCAATAAATATCTGGAATTAAGAATCTAATGATGACCATGAATCCATTGGTGATTTCAGGAAAAACCCATCTGGTTCACTAATGCCCTTTAGGGAAGGAAACTGCCATCCTTACCCGGTCTGGCCTACATGTGACTCCAGATCCACAGCAATGTGGTTGACTCTTAACTGCCCACTGGGCAATGAGGGATGGGCAACAAATGCTGCCTAGCGCCCTCATCCCATGAATGAATAACAAAAAAAGATTACCGTCGGCAGGAACTGGTTGGACCGAAGTGTCAGTTTCTGTGCTGCATGTCTCTGTGAGTCTGTACAAGTCAAAACCACCTCACAGTTCTAATCCCATTTTGCAACACTTGGCCATTGGCCTTGGCATTGCCAAGTGCAATTCAAAATACTTCTTCAATGTGAAGAGGATTTGTGCCTCTCACAGGCCAAGAGCTCCAGATTCCCACCACCTTCTGGGTTAAAAGGTTACTCTTTTCCTCAAAAATGGCATCCCAGGTAGACAGAGCAGTGAAGAAGGTGCTTGACACACTTGCCTTCATCAGTCAGAGCTCTTAGTACAGGAATTGGGATGTCATTTTGTGGCTATACAAGAAATTGGTACGGCCACATTTGTAGTACTGCATACAACTCTGGTCATCCTGCTGTAGGAAGGATATTATTAAACAGGAAACATAGAAAACAACAAATTTACAAGGATGTTACCAAGACTGGAAGGTTTCACTTATAAGGGAAGGCTAGAACTTTTCTCTCCATAGCTTAGGAGGCTGAGGACTGATTTATAGAGCTTTATATAATCACAAGGGGCAAAGAGAAGGTGAATAGCGAAGGTCTCTTCCCAGGATAGGGGGGTCCAAAATTGGAAGGCGTAGGTTTAAGATGAGAGGGGAAAGATTGAAAAGATTGGAACAAGCTGCCAGAGGAAGTGGTAGAGCTGGGTAAAATTACATTTAAAAGACATTTGGACAGGTACGTGGATGGAAATGATTTGGAGAGGTAAGGGCCGAATGCCATACGGGACTAGTTCCATTTTGGAAACCTGATCAGCATGGACGAGCTGGGCCAAAGGGTCTGTTTCCGTGCTGTATGACTCTTTAACCTCCTGCCCCTCACCAACTTGGACATCGCTGGCGAGAGGAGAATTTGTTGCCTGTCCCTGCTTGAACTGTGTAGCTCACTTGGCAATTTTCAGAGACCAGTTATCAGTCAAGCATGTGGCTGTGGGTCCTGCAGTCACATGTAGGCCAGACCAGGTGAGGATGTGCAGATTTCCTCTTCCATAAAAAAGGTTTCTAAAAACCTTTCAATTCCTGATTTTATTAATTCAATTTTTAAAATCTAGCAGCTACTGTATGGGGTATGAATGTATACCGAAGCATTGGACTCACACTCCAGTCTCACTACTACACCACCAACTCCCCAACTAAACCTGAGTCCTTAAGCCAATCTACCCTGACCCTCCCATTCTCTGAGGCACAGCTTTAAAGCCATAGAGCTCTACAGCAGTCAGAAAGTAAAGAAAACCCTTCAGCCCATCAAGAGTTCAATACTAGATCGTCCTATATTAGGAAAGATCTTGTTAAACTTGAAAGGGTGCAGAAAAGATTTCGAAGGATGTTGCTGAAGTTGGAAGGTTTGAGCCATAGCTAGAGACTGAATAGGCTAAGACTATTTTCCCTGGAGCATCGGAGGCTGAGGAGTGACCTTAGAGACGTTTATAAAATCATGAGGGGCATGGATAGGGTGAATGGAGCAGCTTTTTCATGCAGAGAGTGTTGCGTGTATGGAACGAGTTGCCAGAGGAAGTGGTGGAGGCTGGTACAATTACAACATTTAAAAGGCACCTTGATGGATAGATGGATGTGGACCAAATGGGACAAGATCCATAGCACACCTACAGTGTAGAAACAGGCCCTTCGGCCCAAAAAGTCTAGACCAACCCTCAGAGCATCCCACCCAGACTCACTCCCCAAACCCACCTAATCTACACATGCCTGAACGCTATGGGCAATTTAGCATGGGCCAATCCACCTAACCTACACGTCTTTGGACTGTGGAAGGAAACCAGAGCACCCAGAGGAAACCCACGCAGACACGTGGAGCATGTGCAAACTCCACACAGACAGTTGTCCAAGGGTGGAATCGAACCCGGGTCCCTGGCACAGTGAGGTAGCAGTGCTAACCACTGAGCCACCGTGCCACCCATAAAGATTAATTTAGGATATCTGGTTGACATGGGCGAGTTGGACTGGAGGGTCTGTTTCTGTGCTGAATGACTCCACGACTCTAGCCTATGCCAGTCGAACCTCACAGTTCAAGTGTTTTGAATGTTAATCTTTATTTTTGACAGGGTGGGTGCCAATGCTTGATTGATCTCTTGCCTTTTGTCCTTCTGTAGACCTGGGCTGGGAACATTGGATTCTGTACCCGGAACAGATTACATATGTGGCCTGTGCCAGCTGCAGGCACACACGAGATCTGGTGTCTCTCCGCTGTCGCCAAGACCGACCTTCCACGGGATCGAAAACTGGCAGGGTATGGTACTGACTCAGGGCATCGGAGTCCAGCTGTCAGCTCGGCCAAATGGAAAGCAGGGGAGGGCGAGTATCTGAGGTTAGAGGCACAGAGGGGCAGAATATCAGAGTGGGAATAGGCCATTCAGCCCTTCAAGCCTGCTGCACTACTCAATACTATTAGCTGACTGAAAAGCCTCTGTTCCCTGGCTTTCTCCCCTTCGAACCGATTAATCCTAAGAACTACATCCAACTTCTTCCTGAAAACATTCAATGTTTTGGCCATCATCAATTTCAAGGGCAGACAATTCCACAGGCTCTGCACTCTCTGGATGAAGACATTTCTCCTCATCTCAGTCCTGCCCTGTAACCTTTAGACTATGAACCACACCCCCAACTGTGGTTCTGGGTCATGGGGAATTACCTTCCGGTGCCACCCAACCCCCCACCCCACCACCACAATCAGAATTTTGTAGGTTTGGGGCAGTGGAGCACAGGTTGCAAGGATGCAAGTGCCATCCCTGACACCAGCCCAGACTGGCACAACTGGTCGCAGAACATGAGTGCCCTGGAAGGGGACACGGTTGAAGCTTGGTATGTAAAGAGATGTGCCTTACCTGCAGTTGTGGACAGATGTGCTGAGAGTCATGGCACTCCACTTTCTAGATGTGTCTCTCTGTGTGTTAGACTCCTCCTGGGATACTGAAGCTCCCTGATGTGCCATACTGCCTGAGATAAGGAGCTACTAGCTGTTCATTCTCCTCTGTCACTCGCAAACATACTTCTGTATCTGCTTTGTTGATGGACCAGAGTGGGACGGAGGTGAGGTTCTGTCAGTCTAGCTGTCTGTTAATGCTTCAGAATGCTATTATTCAACCTGTTCTCCACTATAGGGTTCCTAAGCACTTTTTTTATAGATTCTGACACTCACCCACCCCCCCATTTATTAAATTCCACCGTCTCTTACATAAAACATTACAGCACGTCAGCAGAACAAATATTGTTTAGTCCCCTTGGCTCCAAGGGTACAGAGATTTACTTCCAAATTAGTCTGTTAAATAACATAAATTAATCACTCCCCAACCAAGCCATTAACTCAGAGTCACAGAAGCTAGGGCCCATGCCCCTCCAACCCTCCCTCTCACCACCTTGAGATGCTTTTTGTGTTCCTACATTCCAGTCTGGATATCTCTCCTTCTGTGGGTCAGTGTCGAATTTTATTGCCAATTCCCCCTCCAAGACAGACAGCATGGCACTGTGGGAGGATGCCCTATGTTAAGGGTGCTATGGCAATGCAGATCATCACAGTCAAAACACGAGTGTTCCCAGGACGCAGCGTGGGAGAAAAAGAGCAGGTGGCAGCCTTGAGACGGGCAAAACAAGGCAGAGGAATTGGGTCAGCAGCTGTCAACAGCAGTAGGCAACTCAGGGAGAGTTCTCACAAAAGTGTCCTGCCGTAAAATCCCTCGCCGCTCAGAAATCCCAGTTCTTTCTGTTGTTCTCGGTCCATCTTTTGAGGCAACTTTGAAACAGCAATAACTTGACAGAGGCCAGCATCTCGTACCAAGTCACCTTTTATTTACACACAAATAGACCTTGGCTGTAGTACTGCCTCATGTAGCGACAGGTACCAAAGTGTCAGTATACCTGACACGCACCATTTTATGAGATAGTAGGAACTGCTGATGCTGGAGAATCTGAGATAACAAAGTGTAGAGCTGGATGAACA